CACTGACTGTCCTGGCTTTGGCCTTAACATTCTCTGTGCTGGAGTTTCCTCATCTGTAAAATAAGGATTCTAATAAGGCCAACCTTGAGCACACAGGTCAGTGCCTGACACATGGTAAGCATTCCAAACATGTTGGCTGTCTCTGTTCATTCTCAGTCATGCTCCTTGGAGTTCTGTTGAGATTATATGTTTGAATTTACTCAAGTTTTAATTCCAGGGTTTTCCACTCTTGTTTTTAAATCTGGGATGTGCATGTCCTCTTTCTAGCCTTGAGAGAATGTCCTGACCTTTTTAATTTTTTTAAAAACTCCTATAAAAACTCCAATTTCAGGGAAGGGCATCTCATCACACTAAGGTCACCCATGATGAATGGTCTTTTATTACCTGCTGATTACAGTTAACCCTAATTTCTTTCATGGCAGCCATGCGGTACCTTCTTTTTAAATAGAGCTGTTCCTGGATGTGACTTTTTGAGCCTCTCTGGGTTTAATTCTAATTTAACTTGCCATTCCAAGTGGGACTATTATGCAACTGAAGTCATGATTCACTCATTTGTTCTCTCTATATCTAATTATTACAACTCGGTACCTATGAGGCCCCTCAGGCATTCATTCACTCCTCTAAATGGTCTAACCTTCTCGGGAAGGGAGTGGGCCTTTAGTTATTATTCTGTTGAACTGTGCAGATGTATTTAGTACGAAATTTGGGAACACAGTAACTGTTTCATCTTGACCATTTTCATCATACTAAGCTTATTACTAAGGATTATCGGAAAAATACTATATTGGTGTATGCAGAAGTTACTTGTACATTTCAGGTTTTTTTAGAACAAGGCCAATGTTTGAAGCACAGAAGTCAGGTTGTGTGCCTTCGAGGGTCCCTCAAGTGCCTCCTGAACAAAGGTCATATTGCTAGGCAAGTGTCAGAAGGTCAGAGTAGAAACACCCAAAGTGTAATGACAGTTTGTTCTGTTCCCCAACACCCATCCCTATGAGTAGCCTGGAGTGAGTGGGGCAAGAAGATATTGTCAGGAAAGGGATCAATCCTTCACTTCTCCCAGCCTATCTAAATGCTTATTAGGATCGAAGGGAAGATTTTTGTTATTTCATTCACCTCCACAGATATCAGTGGCCTCCCGTTGAGAATTTTAATTGTAAGCAATGCTTTAGAATGCCTTGCTTGAACTCAGAAGAACTGAGGCACTTCTGTGCACGTGCTTATAATGGTTACCCAAATTCCCTGATATTCACTAGCCACTTTGTATTGTGTTGAAAATATTGAACTTGGGGAAGTGGATGTTAACGTGAGGTCAATTGAGTGCCTGTTATCTGAAGAATTGCAATCAAAGGATCCTAGTGAGGACGAATTAATCATTCTATGTAACAAACATTTCTTGAATGTCCATAACATCCTAGGTTCAAGAAATATAAAAATGTTTGGTACCAGTACCCCTACAGTCTTGGCTTAGGCTCGGTCAAACGCCCAATCTATGGTTTTCATTTCCCTACACAGCCCTCCGGTGTGGAATTGTGCCGGCACCCTGATACAACTGTAGTACTCCTTGGACTTGGGTTGTCCTCTCACTTCTGTGTTCCTTAAGTTTTTCTGCTCTTCTAGTTCCCGTTTACCTCTCTAACTCCACGTACCTTTCTACAAAGAGATCAAATCAGTAGTTCTGGAAGTAACAGCTTAGCCAAAAGTTATATGACATCTGAGGATGTCTCTGGCACTTAGAAAGAAGCACCAGAGAGAATGTCATCTCAAAGCCAGCTTAATTGGGTACATCTATTTATCTCACGTGTCTTTTTTTGAAATTTTAAAAATTATTTTTATTGTACAGATACCTTTAGGTGGTTGTTCTTCATCATGTCCTAAAACATTTCACTTTAAAATGAGGAAAACCACGGTATGAGATCTTGTAGCATTAAGACCATCTACCAGACATACCTTCATCTTGATATACACTCAAAACTCTCAGTGAAGCAATATGGTGCCTTTCTGTAGTCTTTGCTTATGTTTCTATGCCTGCCGTATATTTAAAGGGTTGATGGACTGTTGCAGCTTACTTCATTGGTCCATTAAGGGTAGTCTAGTAGTTACTTGGTCTTTATTTCAGATTTTTTTTTTTTTTACTTTTCTCAGTATATGCAGGTAAATAGCAAAATAAATTAGCTAAAATCAGGTGAAAACTATACGTGTATGTTTCTGTGCGATGACACTTAGACTTCTACATATAATGTAAGAAAGTATTCTACAAAACGAAATGTGCTTGTTGTAGACTTTGTATTCTAATTTGCAGGAAGTAAATACTGTATCATTTTCTCAATTTTAGAAGGTATCACATATTTATAACACAATGAATGACTTCCTTTATTTTCAGGTCCCTAGTGTGTCAAGATCCATGTTTATTTTTATGACTGTATACGCAAGAAATGAATTACTGTTGCCCTGTTATCACACACACAGTCTTACTTGTTCATGGGAATCATACTCAGTGACAAAAACATACCTGTCAGGATGACTAAAGCTGTTCTTACATGGGGCAAGCCAATCTCGCTATTTTGACTCTTTTCACAATAACCTATAGTCCCTGGAACTCAAGTCAATTATATGGAAAACCACAAATCCATATTGATTGATTAAAAAACTGAAAAAAGAGGCTTAGCCATACTTAGCATATGTCCTTTCATAAAACTGTTTGAGACACAGGTAGATAAACATCATTTATATTTGATCTTACATAAAGCTTTGGCTGCTTGATTTATCAATAAAGGGGAAAAGACACATTGAAAACTTAAGGCACATGTGTAGAAAGAGACATTCAAAAATCGTTCCCTGGAGCAATGTAAAAGTGCAGTATTAGAAACACACTTAGAAAGTGGATTTTTTGAATGCTTGGATGAATGTTTACTAGATGCCTACTGTATTTCCTCTAACTCAGGAGTTAGCAAACTACAGGTTATGGGCAAAATATAGTCCACTATTTTTGCAAATAAAGTTTTATTGAAACACAGCCATGTTCATTTGTTTATATACTTTCTATAGCTGTTTTCATAATACAATTGCATAGTTGATGATTTACAGTATAAAACTGTATGGCCGTCAAAGTTGAAATAAAATATTTACTGTCTATCCCTTCCCAGAAAAAGTTCCTTACCCCTGAATCAAGGTCAAATGTCATCTTTTGTAAAAGTTCCTTACCCCTGAATCAAGGTCAAATGTCATCTTTTGTAAAATGGAAAATGTAGAATAAAAAAATTATGCCAATTAAACTATGACAAGCCATCAGTTGTAAGAGGCATACTAATTTTAGAGATGTCAAAATATGAAAATGATAGATATTAGAATCAATAGCTTGTAGTTATGTAGTACATCAGATAAATAAATTATGGCATTTATATCAACATGGACAATCTCAAATGCTTAATGTTGAGTGAAAAAAAAGCAAGGATACAACAATTTGCAGAATGATATGAACAGCATGATGTTATTAATAGAACCCTTAGAAACACAAAACAATATCATGAACTTCTACAAATGTAGATATATATGGACCAACATAATTAAAAAGAATTGGAATGATCTAGAGAAAACAGATGATAAAGGTTTTTCATGTAAAGAGAAGAAGGGATCAGGCTGTGGTGGAAAGGCAAAGGAGGCAGTTTATAGTTTATCTTTATCTGTAAACAGTTTTTTAAAAGAGGTGATTTATTAATGAAAACTAATTTTTAAAAACATCAAATGTGGAAAATCAGATATGTTAAAATGTTAACAGTGGCAAATGTTTTTTATAGTAGAAACGGTGAAATCGGTGATTGCTTTTTTCATCGTATTTCTATGTAATTTTAAAGAACGTCATGGATAACTACAAAAGATGAGTCATATTCTTTATTTCTGTCTAAGTAAAAAGAGATTAAGGTTTGGGAAAGTACATGTTAATCAATTACCTGACATTACAAACTAATCCTGTTTTTCTACTGGGGCATTAAGATTAAACAACATGCAAGTCAGGGCCAAATTTCATAGTTAAATTTTTTTTTAAAATAATGGTGGTATGGCTAATCTTTAAATACAATGCACATTATTTCTCACTACAAAAAACCACCAACTAGAAAAGTTAAATGTCAGGTGCATTTTACCGAACAGAAATAGCTTGTCATGAGTCATGTTATTGATGTACTGATGTCATTTCTTTCAGCCTGACCTCACTTGTTTTGAAATGTACCTTGTGATTTTACATGAGTTTATGTTGTCACATGCAGCTCAGGCCCTCTTGTTACTTATTAATCTATAACAGGGCTTCTAAAAATATTCTCTGTAAGGATATTCAGAAGTTCAAAACTGTGAGATGTTCATTTACCACCACAAGATTGTTTCCTCTGATAATGGGGTTAGATTCACCTACCACTGCTTTAGTTTAGTTTAGTCTTATTTTACTTTATTTTTAAATTTAATTTAATTTTTATTTTTAAGTCAGGGTCTCACTCTGGTGCCTAGGCTGGAGAGCAGTGGCAGGATCATGGCTGAACTCCTGAGCTCAAGTGATCCTCCCACCTCAGGCTCGCAAGTAGCTGGGACTACAAGCAGGTGCCACCTCCCCTGTTAATGTTTTGAATTTTTTTTTTTTTAGTAGAGATGAGGTCTTACTCTGTTTCCCAGGCTGGTCTTGAACTCCTGGGCTCAAGCAATCCTCCCACCTTGTGGTCTCCCAAAGTGCTAGAATTACAGGCATGAGCCACCATGTCTGGCCTTAGTTTTTGTTGTTGTTGTTTTAAGGTTATCTTTTTCTCCTTGGGAGTGTTTCTCCAGTAATAAGTCATGCTGCCTGTCTTTTCAGGATTAAGAAATGAGATCTGTCCAGGAAAGGGGTAGCAGGAACTGGGGTCATGATGACCCTGAGTCTACAAAGCTGTAGAGTCTGAGGGTATGTTCCCATGTCACTGGAGCCAAAATGGAGTGCTGTGCTTCTCCCCAATTAACTTCACTTTTTCTTTTTCCAGTTCAATTTCACCATTTAGTATTGAGAGCACAAGACGCCAGAGACGGTCTGAATCCCCAGACTCCAGAAAGCGGCGTATCCACAGATGTGATTTTGAGGGATGCAACAAAGTGTACACAAAGAGTTCTCACCTGAAGGCTCATCGGAGGACACATACAGGTACAACTTGTCACCCAGGAGTCAGTGAGAGCCCATAGCATGCCAGCTGCTCGCCTCTGGAGCCCTAGTGTGCTCCAGGGGCCTTCTGTACTGCCCATCATATGTACATCTCAAGTTTAGTTCCTTCCTTCTAAGCAGACATATTCCCTCCTCCCTCCTCCCTTCTTCCTCTTCCTCTCCCTCACTAGGAAAAGGCTTAAGTACCAGTGAACTTCAGAAACCAATGAAATATTTCTTAAGGGGTTTTAAAACAGTAGGAACACAGTGATCTAATAGTGTTTCTCATAATCAGCATCCCCACTTAATCATTATGGAGTCAGGTTTTAAAACGTCCACATGTCACATCAAACAAGCTGAACAAAATGATTCTCTGAAAGTTAGCATTTTCCCTACCCCAACCCTTAGATTGTGTTTTTCTCCACTCAGTCCCTCCCCTAATAGCAAACAAATAAACTCAAAAATAAAAATTGATGTCTACATAGCTGTGGGAAGTTCTCAAAGCATTTCCACATTCTGTTTGATTTGTACTAGTATTTTTGTATATAGGGAGAGAATTTCTAGTATTCACAGTTCACAGAGAAGGAAATTGGTACCATAATGAATGCACTGGCTTTGCCACCGTCTGCCCATCCATCTAGAAGCGAGCTGGTGAATCTTCGCTCAGCCATCTCTCCACCCCACCCTCTGCTTGGCATGCCCCTCAGCCAGCATCCCCTGACTTCCTGGGCTTCCCAGTCCTCCTGGGTGCTGCCAGTGGGAGGCATTGGCAAGAGACCACAGGTGAGGGGATGACCCCACAACTACACCACGTTTTTTAGGACAGTGACTGGTGACTGGACTGTGTGAAACTCCGAGCAAATAGGATGGGGAAACTCATTCAAACACATTTCTAGTGAAATATGCCATAGAACAAGCCCAGTCCAGTGTCTTGTCCTCGACAGCATCTGCCTTTAACTAGAAACTTCACATGTAACAGACTCCCGCGTGGCTGTGAAAATAGTATTCCCAGCCAGGCCCAGCCTGTAATCCCGCGCTTTGGGAGACCGAGGTGAGTGAATTGCCTGAGTCCACGGGTTCGAGACCCACCTGGGCAACTTGGCGAGACCTCATCTCTACAATAAATTTTAAAAAAATTAGCTGAGCGTGGTAGTGCTCGCCTGTAGTTCCAGCTACTTGGAAGGCTGAGGCGGAAAGATCGCCAGAGCCCAGCAGGGCGAGGCCGCGGTGGCCGGGAGCGGCCACTGCACTCCAGTCTGGGCGACAGAGTGAGACTCCAACTCAAAAAAAAAAAGAAAAAAGAAAATAGTATTCCCATCTCAAGCATATTGAAATAACCATGGTATGCAAACTGCTTCCCAGCTTAGGCAGCACAATAATTCAAATTGGTGTTCTTTGCCATTTTTAAAGCCCACGTTTCCTTTCTGCTCCCCTCATTTGACTCCAGATTCTTCCCTTTCTGTGGATTCTGAGCTGCTCCGTGAGAGATTTTCATCTGTTTCTTAGGTACTATTTTTTAAATCAGTTTCTTTATCATCAAGGCAAAGAATGAGTGTAAAGACAAGGAAGTCGAATAAACATACTCCTTCCTTTCCGTAGATAGTGAACACAGATCATAGCAGGAAGTGTGATTAGGCCATATCACTGACCTTTTTTTTTTTTTTTTTTTTTTTTTTTTGAGTCAGAGTCTTACTCTGTCGCCCAGGCTGAAGGGCAGTAGCACACTCCCAGCCACCGCAGGCTCAACCTGCTGGGCTCAGGCAATCCTTCCGCCTCAGCCTTCCAAGTAACTGGAACTACAGGGACGCAGCACCACGCCTGGCTCATTTTTTGATTTATTCTAGAGATGAGGTCTCACCAAGTTGCCCAGGCTGGTCTCGAACCCGTGAGCTCAGGCAGTCTTCTCACCTCAGCCTCCCAAAGTGCTAAGATTATAGGCATGAGCCACCGCACCCAGCCTAAACTATTGCTGACTTTTTATGGGAGCCTTCAGTTAAAAAAAAAAAAAAAAAAAAAATCTTTCTACAGTGAATCCTTACATATTTTGAGTTATTTCTATTCTCCTTGAGCTTTCTGGAATACATATTAGCCTCATTTTTACACAGATATATCTATTCCTCTTATCCAAGTAATGAACAGTGAAACAAAGGAAAATTTTTTCATCAGGGACTGTTAAAAGATTTAACTCCACAGCTTTTTGAGATTGCATGTCTTAGGTTTTAACATGCATTATGAGGGTAGAGTAGACATCATTTATACATTATAATTCAAAACAATATAAACCTTGATTGCTGAAGCAGAGTTAATTAGCTTGGCTTACAAATAAGATGAAACCCTAGACTCCAAGCTCAGAATGGACATTCTTTTTTTTTTTTTTTTTTTTTTGAGTTGGAGTCTCGTTCTGTTGACCAGACTGGAGTGCAGTGGCCGCTCGCAGCCACTGCAGCCTCGACCTGTTGGGCTCCGGCAATCCTTCCTCCTCAGCCTTCCAAGTAACCGGAATTACAGACGCGCACTACCACACCCAGCTTATTTTTTGATTTATTGTAGAGATGAGGTCTCCCTGCCCAGGCAGGTCTCGAACCCGCAGGCTCAGGCAATCCACTCCCTCAGCCTCCCAAAAGCGCGGGATTATAGGCTGAGCCACCGAGCCCGGCAGAATGAACGTTCTAAGTCACAGAGTCTAGTATGTTTCCTCATTAGGGGAACGCTTCGCACGTCATCTCTCACAGAGAGCAAGTCACTGCTGTGCAGTCACCACTATGAATGTCCTGAATGGCATCTAGGATGGTGAATCTTTTCCAGAAGCTTTCCAATCCACTTTGCCCAGATATATCAGAGGAATCACTGTCTGTGGTAGCTATAGCATTACTAAATGTATTTCTTAAATAATAGGATTTGGAAGTCAAAATCATCCTTGATCCATAGGTTACAGAATGGCCATTGTGTTAGCAGGCGTGGAAACGACATTTATCTTTGTATCAGTCTCCTTCAGAGCTCTTGGGTGACCAGGTGAATTGTCAATGAGCAGTAAGGAATCTTATTTTCTGAGCAGTACGTCTTAACAGTGGACGAAAAATGTTCAGTAAACCATGCTGCAAAATCCAGGCTTTGTTATTGCATCTCTAGAGCACAGGCATAGGAAATTTAGCATAATTCTTAAGGGTCCTAAGATTTTCAGAATGGTCAATGAGCATCAGCTTCAGTTTCAAGGCACCAGCTATATTAGCTTCTAACAGGAGTGAGCCTTTCCTTTGAAGCTTCAAAACCAGATGTTAACTTCTCCTCTTTAGCTAGGAAAGTCCTAGATGTCATCTTCTAAATAGAAGGCTATTTTGTTTACATTGAAAAATCTGTTGTTTAGTGAAGCCACTTTCATCAGTGACCTTCGGTTTTCTGGATAGCTTGCTACAGTGTCCCTGTCGGCCCCTGAAGCCCCATGAATCTTGTCCCTTCATGTTATGGAGATGGCTTTCCTCAAAAACCAGCCTCTCTCTGCTGGCTTCAAAAACTTTTCTTCTGCAGCTTCCTCACTCTTACAGCCTTTATACAGTAGAAGACAGGACTTTGCTCTGGATTAGGCTCTGGTTTAAGGGAGTATTGTGGTTGGTTTGACCTGGCCACACCACTCAGACTTTCTCCACATTGGCCAAAAAACTATTTCGTTTTCTTATCTTTTGTGCGTTCACTGGAGTTGCACTTTTAATTTCCTTCCGGAACTTTTTCCTTTGCATTCACAACTTGGCTAACTGTTTGGCAGGAAAGGCCTAGCTTTCAGCCTGTTTTGGCTTTCGATATGCCTTTCTCAAAATTTAGTCTTTTCTAGCTTTTGATTTAAAGTGAGAGTTCCTTTCACTTGAACACTTAGAAGCTGTTTAGGGCTGTTTACTGGCCTCATTTCAGTATTGTTGTGTCTCGGGGAATAGGGAGTCCTGAGGAGAGGGAGTGAGGTGGAAGGGCCAATGGAGCAGTCAGAATGGCACACAGCAGCTATGGATAAAGTTTGCTGTCCTATATAGGTCCAGTTTGTGGAACCCCCCAAATAATTATAATAGTAACAACAAGGATCATTGATCACAGGTCACTATAACAGATATAATAATAATGAAAAAATCTGAAACACTGTGAGAATTTCCAAACTATGGCACAAGAGACACAAAGTGAGCACATCCTGTTGAAAAAATGGTGTTGATAGAATTCCTTGATGCAGGGTTTCCACAAATCTTTAATTTTTAAAACAAATAAGCAGAATCTTTTCATGCAATAAAGTGAAGTACAATAAAATGAGGCATGCCTGTATATGCTAAAATAATGTTGTCTTCTAGTAGTTGGCTGTCTCTATTAGGTTATCTAAAGGAAGAGCTGCTGTCAGCCAGGTCTTGCCTATCCCTTGTGTCTGTAACTGATTTCTTTAAAACCTAAACATGCAACGGCCTATACAGAGGGTACCAAAAAAGTGTATACACATTTTTAGAAAGGATAAACTGTATTAAAATTGTAATTCTCAATATATACCAATAATGAAAGATGGATACAAGTCGCGTTTGACTTCTGCTATTACAGGAGGTGTTCAAAGTGGATACCATCAGTGTTCAGACACTTCTGATTATGGTGAACTCAAAATAATACATAGATAACATCTCTTAAAATATGTATACATTTTTTGGCACCCCAGCATGTAGCAAAGCTGTCCCTTAAATTATGACTTCCTTTGGGAGTAGTATGTTACGATTTGAGGCACAGGCTAGAGGTACAGGACAGAATCATTATTCTTTGGGTTGCACATACTTTTTCAAGTGTGGAAAATAATAATTCTGTATCCGTTTTATTAATTTGTGCCCATTATTCTAATAAATTGAAATGACTTAAAACCTTCTCCCCACCCACCTTGTTTTTCATGTTTTCACACCCGCCTCCAGCTTCCCCATCCATGCCAGGTAACTGATGGGTGTATTGAATAGGACAGGTTCAAGGAAAAACCCTGAGACATGATCCTCCAGACA